TCTGATTCTGCTCCTGCTTGGATTGCATGATACTGAGGAGAGAAATGGAAACCAGTCTGTCAAAACAACACCTGTACAGTAGAAAAAAAAATACATAGAGTCTACTGACTGAGCCAGAGTAAACATAAATCCATAAAAAGAGAGAAATGTTGGAAAAACAAAAACAAACCTCTGTCTGCTTTTCTAGTTCCTTCCTCAGAATCTCCACGTCTTCCTCAAGCTCCTCCCTCCACTGTTGCTCTTCCTCTATTCTTGTTCTAAACTGAAGTATCAAGAAGATTTAATTAAATGGTCCAGCAAATAAAATAAACTTGATGCTCCCAGTTATAAGGTTTTACCTCCTGCTTGTATCTCTCTTTCAGTTCAGCCAGCTGAGCCTCCAGCTGCTGGTTCTTCGCTGCAAGAAGCTCAGAATAAATCTTCAGGTCTTGCAACTAAAAAAAATAGATAAAATAAAAATAAAACTATTTCAGCATAACATACAAAGCAAAAAAGAACAAACATATCCAAATCACTAGTTTCTTCTTTGAATATGAACCATTAGAGACTGTTTTATTTCCTACTCTTTAAGTGCAGTATCACCAATAGCGCCCTCTAGTGGAAAACATTTGTTATTTTCAAAGTAGCAAAGCATCAGATGAACATTAAAATGTGCAATTATTATAATAAAAATAAAAATAAATGTTCATTGTTCGTCACTGAAATACTTTGCTAACAGACCTTTTGTTATGCAATATTTATTAATTCACACACATGACATAAATAAGGCTTCCTCTAAATAGAATCTCATAATGTAAACTGATGTGGCTACTTTGAACTTTTCAGACCAGGGAGATATTTGTTGTTCTGCCTGATGTAGAACTGTATTTAGCTGAATGGTGTCAGCCTGTTTAAATGCATTTTTTTCCCTTCTTTTTGTTGAATGTGAGCAGATGTGTGACTGAGTGACATCAGTGAGGAAGGTTTGTGTTTTTGTTCTTGCATTGTATTGCTGATGGTGTCTTTTTGATTTTTTAAATAACCTTTTATTTATTTAATAGCATCCAGTTGTTTTTACCTTTTTCTAATGCTTTTTTTTGTAACAGCTTTGTTAGAGACAACAACGCTATAACCTCTGTCAGGGCATCTCTGTGCTTTATGTGTTCTGTTTGTTGTCCCTGTATTAAATAAATAAACCATAAATCATTTTTAATTGTTAATTTTACTTTCCTAATTCAGTTAGACTTCTTTTATAGGGTTAAATCTTTAAATGTTTGGTTAGTCTATTATTGGTTGTAAATAAAGGAAGAAATACACGTCTTTGCTGTTTTAGAATAGTAATACAAAGAAAAGTTTTTACTGAGGAAATAAAAGGTTTAGTCAAAGTGACATCACTGCAACTTTTGACACAATCATATTTCTCTAACCTCATATACATTTTATGTTGTATAACATAGTGAAATTAAAGTAAGACAAAAACAAGATGCTAAAGACCAGAGAGTGGGGAAGGTTAATGATTAAAAACTGAAGTTTTTTTTTATTTTTTTTTATTTTTTTTTTTTTTTATTATCAATCAAATGCTAAAAAATGAGCAGACATAAGAGGCAAAGTCACCTCTTTCCTGAGGTCCCTGCCCTCTGAAATCTCAGTCTCCACTTTCAGCTCCTCAGCAACCAGAAACCTTTCAGGCTGCTCCTTATTCTGCTGCAATTAAACAGAAATGCATGTTGAAGCACAGAAATAACTTTAGTTGTTGTGGTTTTTTCTTCAGAAACTTACAACTTTTACCAGAATTATAAGCCAGTATGAGAACTATTGTTTTATTCATTATTCATTCAGTATAATGTAGTGTTAGACACCTTTTTTTCCCCAAAATAAACCAATTTCTTAGTGAGTAGAAAAGAAATGAATAGACTGGAGTTATGCCGTACTGATAATGATAAACAGAGATTTTGAATCTTTATTTCTAGAAGCTGGAATAAATTTAAAGGTTATGCCTGCTTCTGGTTGTTTTCTGGCTCTTTTATTAACACCTGTTGGGAGTTTTCGGTCCTCCTCATTTCCCTGATAGAAATTCTCCTCCGTATTAGAAAAAGTCTCCAGCTTAGATTACAGATAATGTAGAAACAAATACAACTAAATGTATAGGATTTTTGCCTGAGTGTTTTTTTCTCATGAAACCCCAAAAGACTTCCCATATTGCGCAGGGTTATGTTGGGGGGTCTTTATTTTACTACAAGCTCAGCATGAGGGATTGCTGAAAAACCAATGACTCATCTTTTTTTTTTCGGACAATAATATGAACAGAATTTTTTTCTATTTAAGAAGAAATTTAAACATGAAATTGTAATAAAGAGCTTAACCTTTTGGTTCTCGTTTTCCGGTTCTGTTTTCAGCTCCTTTGGACTTTCTGTAGCATCACTGCTCTCCTGCTGTTCATCCTTTAGCTCCTGCTGGGCTTCAGCATCAGACTGAAGTTACAGAAAAAGACATGAGCTGCAAATTAGGGACAAATCCATCCTATATGATGTTCCAGGCATCAAAGCTTAGGTCTAAAGATCTATTCAGTGAATGAAAACAGAACAACATGATTTAACTTGTACCTGCTGCTCATACTTGTTCTTCAGTTGGGTAATTTCTTTCTCCAACTCCTGATTCTTCTTGATCAAAGATTCTGTTTCACTCTTAGATTCATGTAGCTGCAAAAAAAAAAAATAATAAAAAAAAAAATAAAATAACATTCTGATGAATTCCAGCAGACCCTAATGTAATGTTGGACAGTTTTAGAAAAAATCCTTTAAAGAACAAGAAGAAAAACAAGAACCAACCACAGTCTGCTGCTTGTGCTCTTCAGTCGTTTCGTTTAGCCTCTCAATGATCTTCTGCAGTTCATCATCTTTCTGCCTCAGGTTGCTGTCAGCCTCCTGGCGGTTTGCCCAGGGTGAGCAGAAAGAGCAATAATATTGAACTTAAATGCAAAAAACTACATTTGTTATATTGTTTATTTATTAAATATTTTTTATCTTTTTGCCTTAACTGTTTCAGATCACAGTTTTAAAAAATAGACAGACAGTTTGAATAAATGGAGACTGTGCTGCATCCTGGCCTGATTAGAGACAGAAATAATAGGAACAGGACCTGACCGACAAAATTAAGGGCTAAAAAAAACCCCCAAAAATCTCCAAACCCAACAAAGTGTTAACCCCCCCCATTTATCAATTTTATCCATTTTGATAAAATTGTTTTTATCAAAATTGTTTGATAAAAACTATTTTATCATCAATTTCATAAAATTGTTTTTATCAATTTTAAAATTGATNGCAGGGTTATGTTGGGGGGTCTTTATTTTACTACAAGCTCAGCATGAGGGATTGCTGAAAAACCAATGACTCATCTTTTTTTTTTTCGGACAGTAATATGAACAGAATTTTTTTCTATTTAAGAAGAAATTTAAACATGAAATTGTAATAAAGAGCTTAACCTTTTGGTTCTCGTTTTCCGGTTCTGTTTTCAGCTCCTTTGGACTTTCTGTAGCATCACTGCTCTCCTGCTGTTCATCCTTTAGCTCCTGCTGGGCTTCAGGATCAGACTGAAGTTACAGAAAAAGACATGAGCTGCAAATTAGGGACAAATCCATCCTATATGATGTTTCAGATATCAAGGCTTAAGTCTAAAGCTCTATTCAGTGAATGAAAACAAAACAACATGATTTTACTTGTACCTGCTGCTCATACTTGTTCTTCAGTTGGGTCATTTCTTTCTCCAGCTCCTGATTCTTCTTGATCAAAGATTCTGTTTCACTCTTAGATTCATGTAGCTGCAAAAAAAAAACAAAACAAACAAACAAACAAAAAACATTCTGATGAATTCCAGCAGCCCTAATGTAATGTTGGACAGTTTTAGAAAAAATCCTTTAAAGAACAAGAAGAAAAACTAGAACCAACCACAGTCTGCTGCTTGTGCTCTTCAGTCGTTTCGTTTAGCCTCTCAATGATCTTCTGCAGTTCATCATCTTTCTGCCTCAGGTTGCTGTCAGCCTCCTGGCGGTTTGCCCAGGGTGAGCAGAAAGAGCAATAATATTGAACTTAAATGCAAAAAACTACATTTGTTATATTGTTTATTTATTAAATATTTTTTATCTTTTTGCCTTAACTGTTTCAGATCACAGTTTTAAAAAATAGACAGACAGTTTGAATAAATGGAGACTGTGCTGCATCCTGGCCTGATTAGAGACAGAAATAATAGGAACAGGACCTGACCGACAAAATTAAGGGCTAAAAAAAACCCCCAAAAATCTCCAAACCCAACAAAGTGTTAACCCCCCCCATTTATCAATTTTATCCATTTTGATAAAATTGTTTTTATCAAAATAGTTTGATAAAAACTATTTTATCATCAATTTCATAAAATTGTTTTTATCAATTTTAAAATTGATAATTTTTTTTTTTTATATATATACTTTTTATACTTAGGCATTTTGTTCTTTTCATCTCAAGTAAAAAAAAACAAACAACATAAATATGATGCCTGGAATTTAATAAAGGATCAGAATAAATACAAAATAAAATCATATTATAAACCTGTATTTATAAAACAGGAGCTCCTCGGAGTAACTCCCTTATAATCACATTTTAACTTGATGAATTAGGAACAAGAATACTGAGATACTGGGAATCTCTGTTCTAGGGCTCAAAATGCTATTCTAAAAAGGGAGACTTAAGCAATAAATCAGGCTCTTTTACTGTATACACGCCACAATCTTTCAATGCCAAGAGCATATAAGATGCTGTGGTCAGGTAGTCAGGTTGGTCTGAAAAACTGAGATCTGTTCTGGTTGTTGGGTAACTGCCTAAAAGCTGTAAAACCCTGTTTGGCTTACTATGACTTGAAAACTTAAAGTTGCCTCTGTGTTCTCAAATGATTATGAGGAAGGAATGAGAAGTTATATTGTTCCTCTAACCTCCAGATCCTTTCTTGCAGTCTTGAGGTCATTCTCCATCTGTTCTTGAAGAATATCTTTTTCTTTTATTTGGTCTTCTAGCTAAGAACAACAACAAAAAAAGAAAAATAATTCACATCTTTGTAGGCAGGAGAATTAAAATAATATTAGACATTAATACAATATTTGTTTTTGCTTATTTCATACTACAAAGTTATAATTTCATCTAGGCTGTATGGTCCTACTTTTAGATAATACTTGAGGAATGTTCTTAAATCTGTTTCTTACAATCTATTGCCATTTACTGCAGCATACAATGGATTCTGATTTTTTTATTCCAAAATCTTCTTCTTGTACATCAAAACACTTACTTTTGTAATGTTCAGATCAATTTGAAATTAATAAGCAAGAGATTTGCTTTCAAACTTTAAAAAAAAATCATAAAAACATATGCAATAATGTTTTATGGATTGCTGTCGAAGTAATGAGCTAGAAAAATTTAAACCAATCTGACTGGATGATCACATTTAATTGTCTGATACTGAATTATTATACATATCATCACAAGTCAAAATATAATAAATACAATTTTGAATATATACGGTAGAATGAAAGTGACCAAGAATCGTGGGTAATGTAGTTTCGAAACATGCATGAACAAAGAACTTCACTGCCTTGTTGGCCATGGCACATAGAATGTCACAGTGTGATCAAAAAGTATTTAAAAAAATTAATTAATTTATTTTTTTCTAAAATGTATTATTTATCAATGAACTTAATTGATGTATAAATAGAAGAATTTGATAATAACATCAATGCAAGAGCCCTTTTTTCCCCTCACTGTGGATGGAGGTGATGAGAATTTGCCATTTAAACTGGCTGGAATTTTAGAGGTTTCTGCTTTTCTATCTGTGGGAATGGAGACAAGGAAAGACTTAAGGTGGATGCAGGTGGGGTTGGCACACAGATGCTCAGAGAAAGAAGGTGCAAAATCATACAAGTGGAAAAATATGCCAAAATAGTTTGGTGCTGAAATTGCGACAGATTAATTCAGATGAGAAGGAGAAGGAGGAGAGTATGGATAGTGGGGACTGACATGGTGAATAAAACAGACATATGATGACATGACATTTGAATTGAAAAAGCTTCCTGGAGAGGTGGCGAAATGTTTTCAAATCTTGGAAACCAAGTCCAGTGGATTTTTTGAACTTTAACGGAATGACTATGACCTGGATGGCTGAGAATCTTCATAAGCAAAACAGACATAGTGACAGCATAAAATACTGTAATAATATGTTCCCACGAAATACTTAACGCCAACAGGCATTTCCCATAATTCCGATTGGCCACTAATTTAACATTTTCTTCATATTTAAAGTTTCATCAGATATATGTTGACTCATGACAATATAAAAAAAATCATATATATATATATATATATATATATATGTGTATATTGATGAACTTTGATATATAAAAAAATAAAGGTTTTGGAAATGTTTTGAAATATAATATCAATGCAAATCAAAGCAAATACTTTTATGAGGACGAAAAGTAAAAAAAAAATGCGAGGCAAGAGAGACATTTGTGTTCCTCAAAAAAGAAATATTTTTGCTGATGCACCTTAAATATTGGGATGTGTTTATATCACTTGCAAAGGAATTGCACTGACACAATTTTGAAAAGGTCACATTTAAATTTCTCTGTCATTGTAAAAAAAATAGAAAAATAAATCTGCTGCTGTATCTCAGCATAATCCAATTCTTCTGTTTAGGTTTCATCAGTTAAATATGTGACTTACTTTGTGTATCCTCGCCATGGCAACCGCCTGCTTCAGTGAAGGAAAACTACCCCTGACTCGTTTACTTGTGTCCAAAATCTGTGTTTTTTCTGCCTCTTGCTTCTTCCTCGTCATTGGTGAGTCATTTATAACCAAACAGCTGTTAACCTGAGAAACAATGAGGTGTTTCATCTGGTCCTCCAGCTGAAATAAGGAGGGAGGAGGAAGGTTCATGAAATCATAGAATCATATATAGCCTATATTTAAATATATGAACATTGAAATACAAAAAAATAAAGCTGTGTATTTGGAAATGTTGCAAATCAAATACTTTTATGAGGACAAGAAGTAAAAAAAATTGAAAAATAATAGACAAATTTGTGTTCCACAAAAAATAAATGTTTTTGTTGATGCACCTTAAATAGTAGGATTGTAAACAAGTCATTTGCAAAGTAATTGCACTGACACACTTTTGAAAAGAACATGTTTAAAATTCCCCTCTGTCATTGTAAAAAAACAAAATAGAAAAATACATCCGCTGAAGTTTCTCTGCATAATTCAAGCCTTCTGTTTAGGTTTCACTAGTTAAAAGTGTGGCTTAAAAAAGTGTGTATCCTCGCCATGGCAACCGCCTGCTTCAGTGAAGGAAAACTCTCCCTGACTCGTTTAATTGTGTCCAAAATCATTGTCTTTGAAAACAAAAAGGTAAAAAGGGAATGTTAGTCTGACAAGTTTGCTACAAAACAAACAAACATAATACCTATTTATTAAAGGGACATCATTAGAAAGATACAGATAATTAATTGATAAACTGCATCAGTGTAAAGAAATCAAACAAATAACTAAACATAAGTGCAATGTTTACTACTTTAAGCAATAACCAAGCTGTTTTTATGGCAAAAAAGGAATGAATATACAAGATGTGGTTGAAAGATGGTTGATCTAAATGATCTAAAGAAAGAAACATGACTGAGTCTCCAAAGACAGTAGTTTAGAGTGTTTGGATTTGAACCTGCGTTTTTTCCGCCTCTCTCTTCCTCCTAGTTATCAGCGGGTCATTGTGGGCCAAACAGCTGTTAACTTGAGAAACACTGAGGTTTTTTATCTGGTCCTCCAGCTGAAATAAGAAAAAGGAGGAGGAAGGTTCATAAAATCATATAATCAATGATGTAGCATTACAGTCACCACTATACTGAAAAAATAAACCAAAATAACAATATCTACAGCATGATGTCATCAGAAATAAATCTGCCTGGAAAAAATTGACTATGTGAATAAAAATACGATAATTTGGAAGCTATTAAGGTAACCAAATATTAATCATAGACTAATGCATTTCAATTAAATTCAATTTATCTACATATCTCAATTTCACAGCACATGTCATCTCAAGGCACTTTACAGATAATATTCAAATAGATATACGGGTTCTATTTAAGGAAAACAAGCTGATTGCAACTACTCATTGTCTTGACAGTAATCCCTCACACCAAGCATGCCTGCAACAACAGTAGAGATGAAAACTCTCTTTTAATAGGAAGAAACCTGAAAGAACGAAGCAACAACACAAAAGGTAACTATTAACCAGTTCCACAGGGGGCCCTGTCCAGGAAACACACGGCCAGGCAGACAAGCTCCGAGCCAGCTCCAATGTCACCGGAGAAACCGGACCACACTGAAAAACATGTTTATATGCATATACAAACAAAGGTGTTGATGCCAGCAGCACAGCTGATATTTATCTCCAGGATGGTGGCACAGCCAAACAGGAACAGAGACAATCAGAAAAAGCAGAGGGAGAACATAAAGTTAGAGGCTAAAATAACAAATACTGCAGAATGGGTGAATAGAGATAGAATGAAGCAGGATGATGAAAACTGGTCCTTATGTCCTCCAGTAGTTTAAGGCTATAGCAGCATAACTATACAGATAGCTCAGGGAAACTTGAACCACTCTAACTATAAGCTTTATCAAAAAACTAAGTTTTGGGCCAAGGAACAGGATGGAACAGGATAGTTGGTTCCACAGGAAAGTGGACTGATAATTAAAAGATCTGCAGTGGTTAAAAAAGTGCTCTGTTAGGAACAATCACATCAGTGATATAAGACAGAGCTTAGCAATTTAAGGCTTTATATGTGAGAAGGAGGATTTTAAATTATATTCTGGATTAAACTATATGAAAATAACAAAGTAATATTTAATCTTATTCATGGAAAATTCCCTTTTTAAAAAAACATTCCAATTGGTGGATTACCTAAAACAGCCGCTTACTAAAGAACAAATAAATAAAACCAATGGGGAGTATAATTATAAAAGGTCAATATGAAATCTGAGGCTTTCTACCAAAGATAAACATGCCAATCCATTATGTGAATAAAAAATATGAAGGCTAATGCTTTTTGTCTTGAGATGATGTGTTTTGTGATTTGGCGCAATGTAAATAAACTGAATTGAAAAACTAAAGCTGAATTATTTTAAACAGTAAGTAAGAAACGAGTAGGTCACTAAATACATCCCAGATTAAAAGACAAGACCACTACCAACCAGATTACTGAAAAGCTTTATCATTTCAGAAACATTGAGGATTCAAAAATTACAACCCATACTCTAAGGTATGATGTAAAGTTTCCTTGGTTACAAGCTGCTGCTTTAAAAGTTTAAATGAGATAAAGACCAAAATCCAAATGTCATCCCCGCTGTAAACTTGGGAGATGTTTGTAGTCCAAATAGTGTCACAGAGGAAACTAGAGCAGTGAGTGGAGCAGTCATTCTGTGTTTACAAGTGTTAGCTTTGTGTGTCAGTGTGTCTGTATTACTCTGCATATCCGCTGCATTGCTAGGGTGTTCTTCAGTGACTCAGTAAAGTTCTGCCTCCTCTGAATGGGATTTGTCTTCATCATCTTTGAGAGAAAAACAGAAGCAGATGTTGATCTGAGCCAGACCTAATAGCCAACTCATCATTAGTTCAGTTCTATTGATATAATAACAGGTTAGGTGATAAATAATTTCAAGAAAAGTAAAGGATTCAGTTTAAATGCAGTAGCCTACAATCATGTTCCATTTCAATTCAATTCATCCAGGTGAAGTAAAATCATGGAGAAGCCCCCTAACAACAGAGGCATCAACTCTCCTCAACCTAACATGGATTATTGAGCATAGAAAAATGGGTGGCAGCTCATAGAACAGTCAGCTTAAAGAAATACTAAAGCACCAGTTAGTATAAATTTACCATATCGATGTCTAAAGTAGAAAACATGCAACCACATATGCTATACACAGACATGCAGCATTTTCCTACCTGATTTAAATCCTAAGTCTCTGTCCAAAATAAACACATTTCTCTATTTAAAACTGTCAGAAAATTATTTTCTGGCCAATGGAGAAAACACCCACACTCGTCTCATTTCAATGCATTTCAAGGGAGCAGAGAGCACGCCTTTATATAGGGGAGTCAAAACAACCAAGCCTCTGCATGCATATGGCAAAACACAGAATAGAAAGCACCGCAGGGCAGGGCAGCTTTGGAGGGACACTGGTTTGAAATAAATAACTTTATTAATTCTGAACAGACAATAAAGATATCTAAAAAAAAATCTACTTAGAATAAACATCTTTGGACATTAGAAGGTGGAGAGTAACTAATTTCACTGATCCATCCATTTTCTTCCGCTCTATCCTGAGCAGGGGCGTGGAGGCAGCAGTCTAACCAGAGATGCCCAGACTTCCCTATCCACACACACTTCCTCCAGCTGCTCTGGGGGGACCCCGACGTGATACCAGGCCAGCTCAGAGACATAGTGCCTACAGCGTGTCCTGAGCCTTCCATGAGGCCTGTAACAACTCCCGAGGGAGGCGACAAGAAGGCATCCGAAACAGATGTCCGAGCCACCTCAGCTAGCTCCCTTCGAGTCTACTCTGAGCTCATCCCCGGTAACTGAGCTCCTCACCCGATCTCGAAGGGTGCGTCCAGCCATCCTGTTGAGGAAAGTTTTTTCAGCCGCTTGTATTCGCGATCTTCTCTTTTCGGTCTTTACTCAGTGGCAAACTGCTCCAGTGCACGTGGAAGGTCTTGGTTTGATGAGGCCAACAGGACAACATAATCTGCAAACAGCAGAGATGAGATCCTGATGTTCCCAAACTGGACACCCTCCAGTCCCTGGGTGCGCCTAATTCTGTCAATAAATATATGGAACAGAACCGTTGACAAAGGACAGCCCTGACAGAGCCCAACATGCACCAGGAACAAGTCTGACTTACTGCCAGCAATGCCAACCAAGCTCCTGCTGCAGTCATACAGAGAGTGGACAGCCCTTAACAGAGGGCCCCGGATCCGATACTTCCGGAGCACCCCCCCACAGGACACCACTAGTGACACAGTCAAAAGCCTTCTCCAGAATCCACAAAACACAAGTGGACTGGTTGGGTGAACTCCCAGGAACGCTCAAGCATCCAATGAAGGGTATAGAGCTGGTCCAGTGTACCACAACAGGGCCAAAAATCGCATTGTGTTTCCTGGATTTGAGGTTAGACTATTGGCCGGATCACTCAATACTGCAGAGATGTGTAAGCCTAGACAGACCTACAACATCCAGAGACTTAAGGTAATAAGGACAAATCTCATCTATCCCGGGCGCCCTGCCCGAGAAGCTTTCTAACTACCTCGGCAACTTCAATCTGGCTGATGGGCGAGTCTGCCTCTAAGTTCCCAGCCTCTGCCACTGTTATGGAAAAAAATCAAACAAAGGTGGGTGACGCACAACCGGGGCCCCACCCTGGAGCCAGGCCTTGGTTTGGTGGCTGACATGCCCACAGGGACCAGCTGGGCTCAGCCCAAATGGACGATGTGGGCCGCCCTCCTGTCGATCCACCAACCGCAAAGGGATCCATAGGGGTCAGGTGCAGAGAGGATTGGGTAGCGGTTGAGGCGGGGTGCCTCAGCAGCCCAGTCAGTGCTCGTAGCTTCTGGTTGTAGGGAGGTGGAACGTCACCTCACTGGTGGGGAAGGAGCCTGAGCTTGTGTGGGAGGTGTTTTATATTATATTATATTGTTATATCATAAAATGCTGTGGTCAGGTTGGCTCTATGGTCTATGATTAATAAGATGCAGAAAGTTATATCATTGCTCTAACCTCCAGATCCCTTCTTGCAGTCTTAAGGCCATTTGCCATCTTTTCTTGAAGATTGTCACTTTCTTTCTTTTGGTCTTCTAGCTAAGAACAGAAAAAAAAATTATAACATAATTTACATCATTTTAGCAAGGAGTATTAAAATTATTTCAGAGATTAATGCAATACTTGTTTTTGCTTGATTACTACCACAAAGTTATAATTGCATCTAAACTGTATGGTCCTCCTCTTAAATGATGCTTGAGGAATGTTCTTAAAACTGTTTGCTGCAATCTATTGCCACCAACCACCTTTCAGAGGGGCATAAAGGAAGCCATGAATGTTAAGAAAGAAAAAACAAACTTAAACAGAAGGGGTGGATTCAGATTTCAGCTTTCAAAAACCTACAATGCAGCAATTGAGTTGATCCCTTTCCACAATTATGACAACCCCTACCCCTTTACAGGGGAGCAGAAGACCTTTACAGGGCAGAGGCCAACCATTCCCTTTAACGACACCCCTTCCAGAGACTTAGACAGGTATGGGGAATTGCAGGCTAAGAAAAGAAGCCAAACAACCGCCATCCCAAAGGGGTGGACCCGTTCGGCCATTTCAATTTGCCTGTTTTCTAAACAAAAAAAAAGCCTTGTTGGGCTACTCTATAAATATATTTATAACCTACTTTATAACCTTAAACTCAATGCTATTCCTGACATTTTGAATTGAGAAAGCTTCCTGGATGGGAAGCAAAATGTCCTCAAACTTGAAAACAAAGTTCAGTGGATTTTTTTTTTAATTTTTTGGAACACAGTAAGAGGTGAGTTGAATCCAAAAAGTCCATTTTAGGGATACCACCAAATCATTGGTTTGTGTATGCTGGTTTAAAATTTAATTGAAAGAAGAAATGAACCACAAATTAGGGACACACCCATTAAATTTGATAATTCAGGCATCAAAGCTCAGGACTGAAGCTGTATACAATGAATCAAACTTGTACCTGCTGCTCATACTTGTTCTTCAGTTGGGTCATTTCTTTCTCCAACTCCTGATTCTCCTTGATCAAAGATTCTCTTTCACTCTTAGATTCATGTAGCTGCAAAATAAATAAGTAAATAAATAATAAAAAATTCTGATGAATTCCAGAAGAACATAATATCAGGTGGGACAGTTTTTGAAAGAATCCTGTAAAGAACAAGAAGAAAAACAAAGGCCAGTCTATATATAAGATATATACATAAACAAATGTTTTTTTTCTCATCCCATGTGAACCTAAAGCTCTAAAGAGCAAACTTTAATTAAACATTAATGTACTTTCAAACAGGTAATGAAAATATTTTCCACTTACATAATTCTTCTCATTCTCTTTGCCTCCTGCATCGCAGATTGGATCATCTGAGTCAGTAAATTAACAAAATAACAATGTATTTTTTTTAGTATCTGATTTTCAAATAGCTTATAAAGTATATATGTTAATATAACCAACATAGATAAAATCTTGAGAATTATTTTATTTACGGTAATATAACATTGTTCAATTACTGTTGAACTTGCTTTTGGTTCTCCTCCATTTATATGCCACGAAGACGGCTGATAGAAGGGACATAAGCGTAGCAGCCAATCCCACAGGAACAGCAAAGGGAGAGATATCCTGGGAAACATGAAGAAATTCCTGCCAGAAATTGCCTGAAAAAATAAAACAATTACAATAAATAAAAGTGAAATAATTAATAAAAAAATAAATAAATTTTTTCTTGTTAAAAACCTCACAATATTCTCTGAAAAAGTGGACTTAAAAAAAATAAAAGTAAAAATTACATTCAAACATATGATTAATTAAGCCTTGATGCAGAAAATGTGGCTAAAATGTTTTTTTTATTTATTTATTCATTTGAAAGTAAAAGGCTTTGTTTTTTTTTTAGAAAGTGAACAAAAAAAAAAACAAAAAACAAAAAAAAAATTAAGGCGCCATTAACACAGTCTACTAAGCAGATGTTATATGCAGAAAACATTACTGTGTTTCTCAAAAAAAATAAGGCACATGGAGGAACCTCAAAAAGCTATTCTCAAGTAGAATGTCTAATACTAGCCTAATATTGAATTAGTGAGGTGTTGATCTGCTGTCTGACGCATATGCCTCAGCCGACAGTGAGATATACAACTTTTTTTTCAGTCTTGCAACTACAATCCTGTTGTTTGGGTGGTGTTTCTCCCCAAAAGTCCCAAAAGAAAAGGCAAAGGAATCTGAAGGTTCATAATAAAATTTCATTGCTAAGAATTTTTATTTGTAGACGCTAAATTATATTATCTGCTATCATATTTCTTTTTATTTTTACTTGCTTTTATTCTCCTTTTATTTTCCTTATTTGTTATCTAATTTATGTAAGACACTTATTATTGTCTTTGTACTGAACTGTGCGATATAAATGAAATTGGCTTGCCTCACCTACATAGGATAAACAAGCTGTGGACCATTTACCCTAATCAGGCAACCACTGTTCCGAGTATGTGTTTATAAATAAAATATTGTTAATTAATTGTAATAAATCAATTTTATTTATCAAGAGTAAAATAAAATAAGATTTTTTTCCATACAGTCAGACAACAAACAAGCCACATCTGATCATCTACAGCTCTCAACCAGAAAAGCATCTTCGCATTTATTTCCAACGCGTTTTGGGAAATGCCACAACCGGAAATGTGTGGGTGAAGAATTGAAGCTCAACATGATGAAAATCATCCTCAAAGGAACAAAGGCATGCTTATACGGAAGGCTGGATCAGTTAAAATGTATTATAAATAGATCATGCCTGTGCAAATTCTCATTCATCCAGGTCATGCAAACCATGAAACAGGCTTCAGTCGGAGCCAACAATTAAAAAAAGTGTTGAAAAGCACTGAGTGTTATTCAGTGTTGCACCTGAAGTAATAACATAGGATAAGATGTAATTACAGCAACACAGCACATTGCTTAAAAAATACCGGAAAGCTTGATGTTCTCTGTGAATATGTAAATACACAAGAGAGAGAATACATTGTGTAGCACCGCTGTCTTGCAGCAAGAAGGTTCCGTGTTTAATTTCCAGCTCGAGGTCTTTCTTAATGAAGTTTGCATGTTCTCCCTTTGCATGTGTGGGTTCTCTCCCAGGGTACTTTGGCTTACTCTCGCAATCCAAAAACATGACTGTTAGGTTAATTGGCTTCTCTAAAATGTCCTTAGCTGTGAGTTCAATTCAATTCAATACAATTCAGTGTATTTATATAGCGCCAATTCACAACACATGTCATCTAAAGGCACTTTACAGTTCAACCAGATCATACAGTCAGATTGATTCAAAGTTTTCTATCTAAGGAAAACCAGTTGATTGTATCGACTCATTGACTCGAATTGAAGCCCTCACACTAAGGGATGTGAGGCCGCTTGTAGCGACAGTGGAGAGGAAAAACTCCCTTTTAACAGGAAGAAACCTCCAGCAGAACCAGGCTCAGTGTGAGCGGCCATCTGCAGAGGCCAACTGGGGTTCAAGGAGACAGACGCAGTGTGTGTGTGTGCATGGTTGTCTGTTTCGATGTGTCTCTGTGTTGCCCTGTGACAGACTGGTGACCTGTCCAGGGTGGACCCTGCCCCTCGTTCATAGACTGCTCTGGTTAGACTCTGGCCCCACCTCGACAATAACCAGCAACACTTTGGGGGAGTTGTAATAAGATTCACTTGATTACACTTTACATAGTAAGTCATAACTTTTGAGATTAATATTAGCTCTTGCTCAAAATGAACACAGGATAAGTAAAGCTGAACGTTTGCCGCTAAAAGCAGGTAACAAACAAACAGCACAAACAAACCAAACTGAAAATCATCCACAGAATTTTTACCTTGGCTGGGGGGCAGGCTGTGAATGACAGACACCAAGAACTCTTTTAGACTCTTTTCCATCTGTGAACAAAAAAAATACTTTTATTCTCATCATACTGAACCTGGAGGCTTTACATATTCAAACCATGCCTTGTGCAGGAGAGAAAGGTTTTCCATTTGGCAGTGTTGCTCTGTGGAGCTGGATCCAAAGGCAGGCAGAGAGTTGAAAATGAAATAAATAGAAATGAAAGTGTAAATGTACAGTTTGACACGGTCAAGGCCAGACTAGGCATGAATAAAACAGAATAAAACAGCGATGAACCAACAGAACACAGGTGAGACAGGGAGACTGGCATGTCACAGGTGGACAGATTTAAACAGAATCCTTGATTGCCGTGGCAAGGAGCAGTAAACGTGGATGAAGCTATATGGAAGAAAAATGAATATCTAACAGAGAATCTGAAATATACATATAATATAGACAAGGGAACAAATAAAATATTCTGAGAAGAGAAACCTTTACCAATAAAAAGTATTAAAAAAAGTATTTAAAAAAGTATTAAAAAAATAAACTAGGCGAATCTTAAAAAAACAAACAAAAAAAACATAGTTTTTCAGGCAAAACAACAAATATCTTATCTGGTTTATTTTCTGAAGTAGTTTTTATGATATAATATTTTTGATAAGGTCGTTTGAAAAGCTCTCTCTCTCTTCTTTTGACAAAAATCATTTTCTGTAGTATAAGTAAATTAATGTAGTTTTGTTTTTTTTATAACAGGAGTCTAAAATCTGTAGAATGATTTACACTCTAAAACAATATCTTAATAGTTGAAAAAAAAGTTAACCTATTTAGATGTTCAGAAATAAAACACAGAACATAATTTTTTTGTTTAAAAAACATAATAAAAATTATACATTATGATAAAAGTAAAGAGGAAGGGAGAGTATCAAATCAGATTATTAATACTTTAAGGCTTAAAATAACATCTACCCATCTATTATTATTATTATTTAGATTTGCAAATAAGATTTAGTAAGCTTTTTATGCTTATTCTTTATTCCTCTTGGGAGGAGCTGCAGTAATGAGAGCAGAAAATCAGACATTATAAAAGGTTTACAAACCAGTCAAAGTGGAACCCAGAGCCGATTAGTTATTCAGTAAATGTATTTCTGTTAACAATTGATTTAAATAAAGTGAATGAATCTGTGAATCACTTTGGTATATTGAGCCAAAACTGATCAGAAATAGTGATGTCACTGATGGTAAGATGAGGCATCATTAGACTGAAGACTTGAACAACTGTTCAACTGTTTGAACAACAGTTAGTTGTTTCAGGAAGCATTAAAAAATTCCCTTAAAGGTCTAAATACTTCCGTGTTTTAGCCGTGTCAGATCTACTATTGTCTACTGTCTACTATTTTCACCATGGAGTTTTAAAAAAAGACCCGACCTACCTTCAGAATGTGTGCGATCCGTCTCCAGTTCGTGACTTTGACCTTTTAGCATTTATACCACAGATGAAAAGGAAGCAAAAGCTCCTTTTGGCAACAAAGGCATCATTTCCTTAGAACTGAAACAGATTCTGTAAAAGAATGTGCTGGAAAAACTCACAAGTTGTTATTGTCCATCCACATCAGAAAATGAAACTCTTTATTTTTTTCAGAAAAACAGGTTGGACAGTTGTTGGTTGGACACATCTTTGTTATGAGGAAATGCTTTCAGGAGTGCATCATTTACCTTTATGAAAATATTTACCTCTGCAGTGTCACATGATTAAGCAAATCAATCTGACAGAAATGCAGGGTGAAACATCAAACCAGATAATCGTGGGACACAAACACAGTAGCTTCTGTCAGTGAGCCCCAGGGCAGCTGTGGCTACAATGTAGCTAGCCACCATCAGTGTGTGAGTGAATGGGTGAATGACTGAATGTAGTGTAAATCGCTTTGGTCAAGTCTCCTGACTTGAAAAACAGCTATATAAGTACAGGCCATTTACCATTTTAACCATTTAAAAACCAATCTAAATATTTATCTAATTTATGGCAGGAAACAAGAACAGCAGTTACATAGTCGCCCTACTTCCTGTGATGTGGAAGTGTGGACTCATACTTCATTGTTTATGCCATAAATTGCAATTAGAAGCCATGTTACATTTTTGTTAATACTTCATACTCAACTTTGTTCTGGGATTAAAAAAGTTATGTTAATAATGGGAGCTGCATGGTGGCACTGTGGCCTTGCAGTAGGAAAGTCCTGGAAGGTCAAGAAATGGAGTTTGCATGATCTCCCTGTGCATGCATGGGTCCTCTCAGGCTTCCTCCCACCGTCTAAAAATATGACTGTTAAGGTGATAGGCTTCTCTAAATTGTCTTTACACTGCAAAAAAATTAATCTCAGTAAGTCATTTTTTTCTTCAAATAACGAGATAAGTGAAACACTTTGCTTATGGAACGAGACAATTTAAATTTAAAATAAGAGAAAACAATTGCATTGTCTTATTTCAAGTGCATAATAATTATTTTATTTCATGATTTCATGATTTTATGTCATTGATTTAGGACATGTACTGTATACTCATTTTTAGATTATTTTTGCAGTGTAGGTGTATGTGTGTGTTTGGGCATGGTTGTGTGGACTGTTCAGGGTGTACCCCACCTTTCACCTACTGCCTACTTTAGATAGGCACCAGCCCCACGGATTAAGCTGATTAAGGTAGTCTGATGTTAATAGTGGTTGTAATTCATCTGTTTAAACACGTCTGCCTGTTTTTGTGGCCTGCTGTCTTGGAACGAGTCCAACCAACGCGATGCAAGGCATCTTGCTGTATTTTCTCTTTAGAACAAGTCCATCATCATTCTTTTATCTTCAGATTAAATAGTTTTCTTTTCAAGAGAAAAACAGATAATATCATCCTTATCTGTAGTATCATCACTCTTCCAAAGTAAGTCAACAGAAGGAAACAAAAAGCTGCCCTAACTTCATTATACAAGCATGATATCATCCTTACCACCAGGAAAACAAGGAACAGACGGTTCTCTTTAATTCAGCTGACTTGGCCTGAAAAGAAGACATGGAGAACAGTGAGACTTGAAGTATTACACCCCATAATTACTTTGCCCACTTAGATGAAATAAACAAAAGAACTTGTTGTTCATGAGATGTGTATGTAAGAGTCATCCTCTGGCCAGAGTGCGGGTCCTGTTCTTGAAAAAATGAGACGTTACACCTTTCAGACACAGACTTTTTTGGCACCTTTACATTTTTGACAATGCAATGTGTGTTGAAGCTTCACATACAGTAAAAATTCATGTAACTCCTTAGCAACGTTAGAGTTTGTTATATGAAATTGCCTGTTGTGGTCATTTTAAGGCATCATGAATCAGTCAATCACTTTGATATATTGAGCCAAAGCTCATATGAAAGTTTTACATATACGTATGGTTATGGGGAGACGAGGCCTCATGAGACTTTGAACACTTGAGTCTGTTGTTTCAGCAAATAATTTCTTTGTTGGTACTTCATGTGCTCATAACACCACCTGCTGGCTGAGTGATAGAAATATGAGCAATGATTTGTATCTTTTAGGACCCTTAGAAATGATCATTTATAAGTAGTAACTATTATTTATCTTACGATTATCATGTGTGTATGTTAAAATATTTCTTAACTTGTACATTTTATAAGAAAATATCAGAAAAGTATGAAAAAGACTACACGTTTTTCTGTCACTTTATTGAAATGGCTAAGGTTTAAACAAACAGACAGGGACAGTGCTGGTGGAACTTGGAAGAGGGCACTAGATAGATATGCTTATGCAACTTGGACAATGATATAACAGCAGTGATTGCCATCTGTTTGTGAGTACCCTCAGACCTACAGTAACGCCTTCACTTTTTCATCCCTGGTTGAGAGGATTAGTCTGACATGCTTGTGC